TAAGGGATGGTTTAATCGGTCATTCGATTCTCTCCCGTGTTAATTATCACCGATCGAGACTGACAGCGTTGCGGCAATTTATCCGGAGAAAACACGTCACTCGATTCCGCAGATTTCATTTCGGGTACGACGATAATATCAATTACCGTCAAATAAAATCGGCGTCGGGGTTTCCATGGGAATCAAGGGACTCGGAAATCTCCGTCGGGACTTCCCGTTTCCCGGCTCATTTCGTGCGTTACTCATTTCATTATACACGACAAGTATATCCTGAAAATCGATTTGACTCCGGGGCACGTTCCCGACACCGTATGAAATCAGTGCTGGCAAAGATCGCATCAAGGAGTCCTCCGGCTCGATTTTGATGCGCGCAAAGTAGGAATGAATAATTGATGCCACGCGATGCCTGAGACGGTAAACTGACTTGTAGACGACCGTCGCCCCGCTTTTCACGGATCTTAGAGACGCTAATGGAAGACACTGCCGTGTGCTCGCATTAATATAAATTAACAGAGATCCAAGTTTAGGCAAACTCCTGCTCGTACACGTCACACTCCCTCTATTTCAGCCCTCGCGCAGTTACGCAAACGAGATCCGGAATCGTACAAGCATTTTCCGCGCCGTCATTGAACGCGTTCACTCGTCGACGGTCCTTGTAGTGTGAAGCATCTTATTTCTCTTAAACTCCTTACACAATAATTTAGACAGCGACTCTTTATACAGGCTGAACGTTTTTACATTAGTGTTGTCGTAATCTCCCGTGAGTAACGTCGTTTTATTTTATTCTAACGTTTCGTATATATAGTGAACACTCGTGTTTTTAAAGTCGTCAACGTATTGACCATCATTACGTATGACCCATTCCTATTTCTTTACTTAAATTTTTCATGCAATTTTCGAAATGGCATGAAAGTATATCTGACTGACACCGAAACTGATTTCTTCTCTTAAGAATTTTAATAAGATGTAAATAAAGTAAGTATTTGGTACTTTTCCTATGCACCCGTATTTATCATAAATGCATCAAATTTGCTGACCAAAAATAATTAAAGAATTCTTCGAAATTCATCGGTTCAAGAATACATTCAAATGTGAAATTTCATTCATTTTTAGTTGAATGACGATTGTTTTGGAAGTCGAATCGGTGTAGTCAGTATTGTAGAAGCGCATCCAGTTACGTCCCCAGCTTCTAATCAGTCAGATATAGTTTAGACACCGTAGATTCCAGTCGCATTCTGACCGAATCATTGCAAACGCTGCAACTTCTCGTGCACAGCGTATACATTTTAATTGAATGTTTGTCTCTTGGATGTATCACCATTATATATACTTGTTACTGTTTGCTACCGAATGGTCATGCAATGTTAATCTTGGTGTTCAACGGGCAGAACATAAAGCTCTTTCTAACCCAATTAATATCCCAGTAATCTGGAATCCTAACAGACTAATTTTTTATAATGTTTCATACTAAGAATTACCCATATGTCAAAATCACAGAATACAAACTGTTAATTTTCGTATTATATGGAATCCATTCTATCTCACGGTGTCATACTTATTAACTGAGCTTCATTCGAAATCCTGAAAATTCTTGTAAGTAAAAAAAGAATTGAAATTCTCTGTTGATCGAACATTTCACCGTTTCCGCAGTAAACAGTTGATGAAACATGTGCGCCATTTTTATAGCCGTTGTTGGATAGCTCGAAAATGTAATGCCTCAAATACCAACATAATATAAGGTACAATAAAACTTAAGAATCTTCGCAGCCGAGCTAAATAAAAATACCACCGGAAACCTACAGTTTTATGATTCCAATGTGATTGGAAAATTGTCAGAATTCTTAGCCGATATTATGCAATTTCCAAAAACCATATTCACTATGAAAGTGGATAAAGTAAGACTTTCTACATGCTAAAAACAATTTTATATTTTGAATAAAAATAACAATAAACGAGTAACAAATCTTTGATACACTTATAATAAATAACCGTTAACATTTATTATAAGTTTTATACTACTTTATCATATTAACTTCAACAAATAATTAACAAATAATTAAAATATGATAAACTATACCAAGTTTCGTTAAGTTTTATGATATATATATATATTTTTTTATGTAAATGAATAACAAAAGAAATATCAGTGAGGGATAAGAAAAAATAATAATGGTAATTATAATAATCATCCCCGATGAACAAGTTAAATAAAATAAGTATCTTTTTCGATGTTATAGAACTTCGGTAAATGTTGGCTCAATTGGCAACGTGTTAACTGACACGGAAACCTCGAATTCGTCACTAGCCAAAGATAAAACAGCAATGTCCAAGATTCTCCTTCCTTTTTTCGTTCGAATAAAATGAACCATTATTGAAGCTACTCACGGCTGCATAATGGGTTAGCATGCGGCTATAATCGGAGCTCATTTACCCATTTTTCCGTGGAAATTCTCAGAATCAGGCGACCGGATGAGGTAAGTTCCCATCAAAACATTTTCTCGGTCTCATTTCGCCCAGCGGAACGGCGCGAAATAAAAGAACAGGGGCCGCAACAGCCCGTTGCCGAACGCAGTTACGGATTCACGGTGCCTAACATGTCTTTCCGGGTTCAAGCATCTTGCCTGTTCTGTTGTCGAAGAGAAACTGTTCCGGCATGGTTTATTTGGTTAAGATACATATCATAAAAAAACGGCAGCTCAATGACTGTAGCGTCCTAGCACCGCAATTGTTCGTACAATTTCGCAGGGTTGTAAATCCCGTTTACGCGGATCGCGACGGTGAATCAGACGCTGGCTGGATTGAACTTAATTGATTCCAGTCGGGTTCGGTTGGGTGAATGAACTGACACACACAGTTGTTTGGGTGAAAAATTATGTATTTCAAATGATATCGGAGCTGGTGCTTGTAGTGTGTTTGAGAACTGTTTGAAGTGTGGTTTGCAACTGATTGTCGCGACCGGCTGTGTCGATCACGAAGTCTCGATTTTTGTTGTTGATCGCTGATTCGTTTTGTCTAATTTCTAACATTACCAATCAGTGAACCTGCCTAAGAGTTCCGACACACCTCCTTACGCCCTCAGCGTGCTCCCTTGGGGAGGGATGTTGCGGAGATTGTGGAGGTGCCAACCTTGGCAACGCTGCGGAAATTCTTCCAGGTGGTTGACTGTTTGGTATCTTTACCGTTACAAACACATGTCGAACTACCCTTCAGAACTTCCCGGTTTACGATACGGCCACGGTTAATGAGAGGCGAAAGAAGCGAACCTCGAATCCTCATCGACCCTGAGTAATAATTCGCTTTCTCTCGCCAGGACATATTCTAACACTAAAAACGTGCTAATTGTAAGCTAAAGTCCTTAATCTCAAAAATAACAATTTGCGCACGTCCGTGCCATAAACCGCGATGGCGATGGTCGTCGAAGGCCTTCGAATTTCCGTCGGTCTTGGGACGGAACATACCGCCCGCCTTGAACTATGTACAGTTCAACAAGATCGAAGTTCACCTAATTGAGTGTGTTGTGTGTGTGATATATACAGTGTAAGTAATTATGTACAATGTTGTAATCTTACTGCTAGAGCGCGGAGAATTATATATATTGTTTATGAGATTATTAGCTATGCCGCATGGGATATGTACAATTTATAAAGACGTGTCATCGGATACCGATAGCGGAGCAATCCGCTTAACGCAAAGCTTGTATTCGCCGTGCACGGTTTTTACCGTGACAACTCGGATAACCCCGTCATCGCCTGGATGAATAGCGACTATCCTTCCTAATGGCCAGGTCATCGGCGGCGTGTTGTCTTCCTTGATTAATACCATGGTTCCGACTCCTATCTCTGGTGCCTTGCCGCTGTGCCATTTTTTTCGGGTAGTCTGTTCGTGCAGATATCTGCCCCAGGGGCCGCGTGGCGATCACGGTTCGGGGAGTGGCGCCCCCGGGCTCCTTAGCTAGGGTCTAACCAACCCTTGGTGTGGACGAGACACCTTGATATGGCAGGCACAGCTTATTCATGTATGTAAGAAGCCGAACAGGTCCTACCAATAGACCTGTGATTGGATTGGTACTACGGGCGCTCCGGTTGCCCATGAGGGCGTACGAAGGGTGCCTAGTCCCCTTGGCCCCTCACAGAGAGTGACCATGGGTGCTTGTCCCCGGGTCCTCTCGGCCGGTGCAATTGGTGTTGGATTCGTAGTGGCAGTGGTTGAAGCCTACATGCTGGGCAGAGTCCTTTCGAGGGTCTCGGCGCGTGAGCAGCGTCCCACCTGCTCCTGGACCAGACAGGAAATCTGGTAGAGTTTTTGGAAAGGTAACTCGGCGCTACCAACAGTCTACTTCTATGGGACTCGTCATCCCCGGGAAGCAACGCTGGTAAGGCTTCGGCCTCAGCTGATTGAGCTTAATCTCAATCCCACGCCCATGGGGGCTCTCCTTGGTAAGCCTTCGCGGCAGGTACTTGGAGAATAATCTGGGTTCCCTCTGTTCGTGCAGATATTCCTTATGCCATCTTTTCCAAAAATGAGCCTTCATTTTTTGGACGTGTTGCCAGGATGAAAGACGGCCGTCGGGAACCTGTGAGTAGTCGACCTCGGGAAGACTTGTTAATCTATCGCCTATGAGGAAGTGGCCCGGGGCGAGCGCGGTAAGGTCATTAGGATCGGATGATACTGGAGTTATGGGACGGGAATTTAGGATTGCTTCAATTTGCAAGTGCCGATGCTATGACATCATTGTAGGTCTGAGATTTGACGACCCCTTCTAGATCCTTTAGTTCATTGCTTGCACCCGTGAAGTTGGTAGAGTTATCGGAATAGATGTCAGAGCATCGACCTCGTCTCGCCATGAATCGACGTAATGCTGCCAAGAAGGCTTCGGTGGTTAAATCGCCTACAATTTCTATATGTATTGCCTTAGTCGAGAAGCATATGAATATTGCTAAGTAAACCTTAATTTTATTGCGATTACGGTGAGTTTTCTCTTTCATGTGTATCGATCCGCACTAATCGACACCGGCTCGTAAGGAGGGTCTCGCTTCTGCAAGACGCGAGGCAGGTAGGCCGCTCATCTTATAGCTCGCGATTGGCGGTTTTGCACGATGGCATGTCGTACAACGGTGGATTATCCTACGCACAACATTCCTTCCGTTAGGAATCCAAAATTTTTGCTGTAAGTTGTTTAGTGTGGCTTGCGTGCCGGCGTGGAGGCTATTAATGTGATGCTCTTGTATTATCAATTTTGTTTTATGCTCGTCTTTCGGTAGTAGTATCGGATGCTTCATATCGGGTTGTATATGCGCCTTAGATAACCGACCGCCGACGCGTAAAATACCTGTCGCATCTATAAATGGATTTAGGGGTGCTAATGATGTGGTGAGACTACCTGCCCCTAACGCATGAAGTTCATTCTTATACGCTCTACCTTGGATGCATTTTACGATGCATTGTTCCGCTTCGCGAAGTTCTGTGGCAGTTAGAGTCCTGCCTTGAGATTCCTTGCGAGAAGTGATGAATCGGAAACGTAATATGTATGCCACGACTCGATTGAGTTTCCCATAGGAGGAGTATCTTTCGAATAAATTGAATTCGCCATTTTGTGTATGCAGTGCTACGAGAGGTCGCATTTCCGGAACTTTTGTCGCCAAATCCAACTGATTAAAAGGCCATTCTATTTCTAGCTCGCCTAACCATTCGGGACCATGATGCCAAAGATGATCGTTTAGTAGGGTTGCTACATTAGAGCCGCACGATATTAGATCAGCCGGATTGTCCGCAGATTGTACATGGTGCCATTCGTGCGCTTGGGTGAGTCTCTGAATGTCTGCGATTCGATGTGACACAAATGTTTTTAGTAAATGCGGTGATGTCCGTATCCAATGTAGCACTATGGTAGAGTCTGACCAAAATATCGGTTTTTGGAATGATAATCTACGGAGTGCGCCTATAACGGTTTCGTATAGCTTTGACAATAGATGAGCTGCGCACAACTCCAATCGTGGCAAAGTGATTGTTTTAATTGGGGCAACCCTTGATTTCGAGGCTATTAACTGTGTTGAAGTTTTACCGTGTTTGTCGACTCCGCGAATGTAAATGCACGCCCCATAAGCTTGCTCACTGGCATCGCAGAATCCGTGTAATTGCAACATTTCATACTCCTTTGGAGTGATCTGTCGTCTTATATTTAAATTCTTTAATTGAATTAAATCGCGACAGTATGTACTCCATTGGGTGTGGATGTCCAACGGTACTGATTCGTCCCAATCCAGCTGTAGTTTCCAGAGCGATTGTAATAATATTTTTGCGCGTACGATTACGGGTCCCAATATTTCAAGAGGATCGAAAAGCGTTGCAGTTTGAGAGAGTATTGTTCGTTTAGTCACGCGGTTGGGTTGCCTTAGTTCTTGAATGTCATATGTAATCATGTTGTGTTTAGCATTCCAGCATAGTCCTAACGTCTTTACCGTATCGTCCAGGTCAAGTCGTAAAAGTCGGTTGTTTGTTCTGTCACCTAATGTCTCTGTCAGTCGCTCGTCATTCGCTGCCCATTGGCGGAGTTTAAATCCAGCTCGTTTACAGATGTTTATTAATTCGTCGCGTATAATCACGGCCTCGTCATATGTTCTAGCCCCAGTCAGAAGGTCATCTACGTAGAAATCCTCGCGAATTATTGTAGCTGCCCGCGAGAACTCCTTCCCTTCGTCAGCGGCGAGCTGATGTAATGTTCGAATGGCTAGAAAGGGTGCAGCGGATGTGCCGTTGGTTGCCGTATTCAACGTGTACGTTTTAATCGGATCGCAGACATTCGAGCGCCACAAAACCTTCTGGTACACGCGGTCCTTCGAGTGAACCAGAATCTGACGGTACATCTTCTCCACATCAGCGGTCATCACATATGAGTGTGATCGAAAACGCACTAATATGGAGAAGAGATCCTCCTGAATGGTCGGTCCTACCAGTAACGCGTCATTTAGAGAGATCCCGTTTGACGTTTTGGCCGATGCATCGAAAATAACCCGGAGTTTTGTGGTTAAGCTTGATTGCTTTACTACGGAGTGGTGCGGTAAATAATAGCCCTGCTCGGTGGGTGAAGTCTTAAGTAGGGACATGTGTCCCAATCTCAAATACTCGTCCATAAATGTTTCATATTCGCGCCTTACATCTGGGCACTTAGAAAGCTTGCGTTCTAAACTGTGGAATCGTTTGAGCGCCACTGATTGTGATTCCCCGAGTTTTACCACATTATCCTTGAATGGAAGGCGAACAATATACCTACCGGTTACGGTGTCACGGTCAAATTGCGATCGAAAGTGTTCCTCGCAGGCTAGATTTTCTGCGGACATCAGAGGTTCTCGAGGCAGTTCCTCAACCTCCCAAAATCGCGTAAGCTGATAATGTAACGCGTCGCGGGCTACGTTGCAGCGAATGAGGTTGTGATTAGCATTATGTGTGAGGTTGCCCGCTACGATCCAACCCAGCCTTGTTTTTTGGATTACTATAGTATCGTCCGCTAGTGAAAGTTGTCCAATGCATAAAAGTTTCAAAAATAATTCAGCGCCTACTAACCCGTTTACCTCTGCCGGCGTATTGAAGTCGGGGTCAGCAAGGGGGAGATTTCTCGGAATTTTGAGGTCGGTTTTCGAAAACGTTCGAGGCGGTACGGGCTCTATTATTTGCGGTATAATTAGGAAGGTTGCATCGATGTTAAATTGATTCACCCGCGAATAGAGCTAATCGCCTTCCTTATAAAGGTAGATTTTTGTGCGACTCCCGTTATTGGAATCTTTACGTTTTGGTAGGGCAATCCTAACCTTTTGGCAAATCGCTTGGTGAGGAAATGAGATTGGGACCCTGAATCGAGGAGTAATCGACACGGTTGTCGATTGCCGTGGATATCTCGGAGTTTCACGACCGCGGTAGATAAAAGGACTTCACCCCCCGCGTTCGCCCCTAATGCCGAGACGTTGACCTGAACCGCGTCCCGCGAATCGTCCGGCCGATCCTTATGTAGTAGCGTATGATGTTTCTCGTTACACCGTTTACATGTGCTAGCCGTGCAAGTTTTAGCTATGTGACCGACGCGTGGGCAATTACTACATAATTCGGCCTTTTTTATTAGTGCATATCGTTTTTCTAAGTTAGCATCCACGAGTTTTACACACGATTGTGTAAAATGTTTCCCTTGGCATAGAGCGCATGTGATATTTGTAACTGAATGTGCGCGGAGCGATTGCGATGATTTGTTACTTGGATTTGTTTTCCCGTTTGGCCGTACATTTAGCGATTCCGGTTTATGCGAGCTTTCGCATCTGGCTGTGCCTAACAGCTTTTGTCTATCGTGCAAGAATTCTAGGAAACTCTCCATAGATGGCGAACTCTCTCCCTGAGTTTCCTCCTTCCACAATAAACGCGTATGATTGTCTAATTTTGACGTTATAGTGTATATTGAAAAAGCTTCAAGAAATGGTCGGTTTAATGCCTGTAGCGCACGGTAGTGTTTGGTTGCTTGATCCACCAATTCTCCCAAGGAATCTACGTTAAACCGCGCGACTGTCGGTAATTCAAACATTGCTTGTATTCTGTTGGAAATTACGATACCTGGAGCATCATAGAATTTTTCCAACAGATTCCAAGCGACTGAATAATTTGCGGTAGTGGTCCCTAACGATTCGATTTTTCCAGCGGCCTTCCCGGTCGAACATGATCTCAAATAAATTAATTTTTGGGCGTCGTGGAAATTAACGTTATCATGTACCGCAGCCTTGAAAACATCGCAAAAGCTTGGCCAAGCCTGAAGCACGATCCACTGAAGATCGGAAGATGCAAGGTTGGTAGTTTGACGTGCGACTCTGAATTTATCGTGAGCGGCGATTGCGAATTTACGGCAAGGTGAAGATTGTTCGACTGGGATGACTGAACTGTACGAGCTTCAAAATCACAAATCAGCCGTTTGGCGCGAGCCATGCTACGTAAATATGAATCGTCAATTTCGGTTCGTTCCGCTAATCGCGTTTCATACTCATCGCCTGACGCGGCTAATTCTAACGCGTGCTGAATGGATTCGAAAATTTCGTAATCCTTTTCCATCTTAGCGATTCTAAGACGTAATTCGTGGATTTCCGTGCCATAAACCGCGATGGCGATGGTCATCGAAGGCCTTCGAATTTCCGTCGGTCTTGGGACGGAACAACGACCTAAACCCCGAGCGCACAGCCACCGGTACCTTCACAGGGCAGCAGGGACGACGTACCCCCTACCTCCACTACAAGTAATGTGGGCGTAGCTTAAAAAACTATAACTAGCAACACCCCGAGCGTTTTAGCCTGCTGATTTGTCACGAAGAACACCGCCCTATCTCTGTATTTTTATATATAGAGAGAGACATTGAGACAGACCAGACAGACAGACATACATCACAAGTTCATTACTAATCACGCTGTACTCACTGGACAACACACACACTGTAACTTTGTATACACATACACATTCCTTTCACTCAATATTAAACAAATACAGTCCACTTTCAAACGAGAAAAGGAGAAGCCTCTTTTCATCACATTTATTTCACACAAGGTTAATTCGGCATGTCAAAGTGTTACGCCACGTCCATTAATACTGCCTAGACAGCGTGCACGAACAGAAACCACCGGTGAACTTCGTTTGAATCAGGCTAAAATAGCACGGGAGTGAAATCGTCGAGAGACTATATTCTCTGGTGTTACGTCACAGATCCGGTTCGAAACACCAAAAACTGTTCCGTAGTAGATCCGGCTCGAAGGACCGAAAAATGTGACGTCGCAGCGTGGCAACCTCGATAGTTGCACGCCCGTACACGAATACTAACGCGGATTTAATTCCTCGGCTGGGGTTGTAAATCCCAGCTTTAACTTTAGGTCTCGTTAATACTCACGATGCTTCGATTTCCAAATTTCTTCAGAAATCGACTGATTCGACTCTGATCTCCGAATGATTGAGATCAGACCACTAGTTTCTCACGATACTGAGAACCCGTTTGATGTTGCGCGTTTTGAGACTAACGAATTCTCGAATTTCGAATTGGATGCTTCTTCGGAGTGTGAAGCTGGAGTGTAGTTGTCCCGAACGATGGACTGACTGACTGTTTGAATGAATGAATGATATCTCGTTACTCCGAACGGTTGAGTATCTGAGAATATCGTCACTCCGAACGGTTGAGTGATTCTGATCTATTCTGATTGATGTTAACTGCGTAACTGTCTGTAACTGTGTAAAACACTCGTGCGATCCTGTTGGTGTCTTTATACAACACCTACAGGTTTTGTGTCGAGTGTGCTGATTGGAAAGCCGAAAATACCCAATCGGTGCATAATTCTAAAAATCGGGGACGTCTTGGACGACGCCCCTTGGCCAGCCCTCTTGGTGCAAGGGTGAGGGCAATGGCCACGTGCGAGGGATCCTCGAAGATTTGCCGATGCCTTGGAAATTTCCTCCTAGTTCACTCATGTCTGGCGGAACCGTTACGAACGAGGTTCGCGTCGACCCTTCGGAAATTCCCGGTTTATGATATGGTCGGTTGTCTGTGCGAACGAAGTAAAAATTCCAAACTATTGTCTGGACATGCGCGGATTAACTAAATGATTTTATCATGGTTTAGGGTGAAATTGCCCCTTGTAACTAAAATAAATAAACTGAGTTCGAAAAAAGCTAATCCCGAAAATAAATTTGTTGGCATGTCCGTATCATAAACGAACCTTCGAGGATTTTCGCCGTTTTGTTCGATGTTGCATCGGACGGAACATCTGGTTAAGATGAATTTTACTTAATTATCTCTAACGATCTATTATATACTAACAACTCATTGATATAACCGTCAAGTATGCATAGCTTTCGAGATATCTGCAAGAAACAATAAAAATTGTTACTTTCCGTTGTATAACCGAAGTCTTCCGTAAAGAAGGATTTCTATGAAGAAAAGATAAGAATTAAGTTTGGACGAGTGGAATATTTTACTATCCACAACTTCTTGAAGCTATACACAACTTGAAAGAGAATTTATTACAATTATATCAACAGTTTATCCTAAATACTCAGAAAGTTGAGTGTCACTTCTATATAACTGCATATATGGAAAGAAAATCTATTCAAGATCTTAATTTCTGCAATATGGTAAACTCTAAATCACTAAATCATATTCAATTGGTAAACGCTTGTTCCGTAACCATAAATACAATATACGCGACACTTATTTTACCGAGAGATTAGTGACATAGGGGTAAAAATCAGCCAACACACTGAAGGTGATCCTTCCATAAGCTCGAAACCAAAACCAGACTGGTTAAGTGCAGATGGCCATTGTTTTACTGAATCCTTTTCCATGTTTATTTCAGCGTAAAACAGTTGGTCGCACCTACTGGGCATGTTTATTCCGAAATAAAGCCAGGTTCGAATTAATCTCGCTGGTTTCGCCGGTGGCTCCTTATCTGCTCTCCGTGCTGCTTACTTCGGACCGTATACTTACCATGCGTCTCTTTCCCGTGTTAACTCGGCCGGTGGCGGGTCGAGCTGGGAACCGGGTTGGGCCGGCGCGCCGGCTACGGGCTATGAATACTTATTTCGCTATTCCTGAACCAGTATAAACTATCCGATGAATTTGCAAATAGCCGATCCAGCCAGCAATAGCCTGCTGACCGTCCCGCGCAACGGCATTGAAATATACACGTTTCAAGTAACAGTAGCAACACCTTCGAATAGCTGAAGTCTTCTTTTCTCCCGACGTATTTCCGCCACTCGGAATCCGCACGAACGCTTCACGCCGCACGCGATTAATCCGTACGCTTCTCTGGATGAGATTTCTCGACATAATGTCATTCATGGGATGCTATGAACGAGATATTTCGTATAACAATGTCGTTCATAGAGTACTACGGACAAAATATCTGAAGACGAAAAATTCTGAGAAATTAGAGATGCCACGGACTTCATTAGAATTCGGAACATCCGTCCAACGATTTGTAAATATACGTTACATGGGATCAGCAACCTTCAATGAAGGAAACGTTTTGTTTTTGTAAACGAATGATTTTATGTTTCTCGCATATTAAATCATTTCAAGTATAGCGTTGTATATACAATTATTACAAAAATAACTCATTTCTTTACATAACTTGTATACACGCATACGTACACTTATGTGTCCGCAATACGTCAGTCGCAAACTTTTGATTCTCTGTCTTTTCTGAATCGAAAGTATCCGCACTCTACGCTACACGTGAGACTTGCACAACACAATGAACGGTAAATAAGTTAATATGTAAGTACATATCTCACTCGCACTCAATCTCCACTTCTTTTCGCTAAAGCGTCT